AGGCGGCGGCGGCTGCGGCTCAGTCGGTCCGGGCGGCCCCGCGCCGCAGCCGCGCGGTGTCTCCGCGGAGCCGTCCGGTGAGTGACTCGCGGGCTGGGGGGCGCAGGTGCCAAGGGGTCCCCGCTTTCCCCACGCCCTCCCGCGTGGGTCCGCGTCTGCCCTCCCATCATCGGCCGGTGGGCAGCGTCCCGCGCACCCCTCCCCGGGCACGTCTCTGGTTGCCAGGCCCTGAGCGCGCCCCTCGGAAACTTTGGGGACCACCTCTCCATGCTGGGGGCCCCCGCCCCGCCCCCCGGGCATCAGGGATGGAGAGCCAGATGGGGGTCTCCTCGGGGCAGAGAGGGCACGGGGAGGTGGGGGGGTGGGGAAGGATGCGCCCCCTTCTTGGGGGATGGAGGGGCACGAACAGCCCTGCGCATTACTGTCCTCCCTGCAGGGGTCTGTCCTGCCCCGCAGGTGCTGAGTAGTCCTGTGGGCAAAGGTGGTGCTGCAGACAGCCCAGCCTGGCTGGGAGGGATTTGGGGGTGCAGGGCTGAGCCCCTGCTCTGTTGGCCTGTGTCCCAGCAGCACCAGGAATGGGGGGCAGCTATCTCTACCTGGAGAGGCTGGACCCGGATGTCCCCTGGGCCTCACCCACCTGGCGGGGGGAGGCCACTGAGCCCCATTCAACAAGTTAGGGGGTGCCTTGTGCCTCCATCTGGGTGATGGGAAAAGACCCAGGATTTTACTTGGCAGACCTCCCCATCATGAGATTTCTGAACACATTCCTGGGGTACTAAAAACATGGGGGACCAGTGCCCCCAATCTGAGGTTTCAGAACTTCTGGGGGGATGGGCTCTAAACCTGTATTTTTCAGGAGCAGTGCTGGTAAATCCATGTGTGCACAGGAATAGTCAAGAGCCTCTTGTTTCTGGTGGGAGGTGAGGGGGGGAGTAGCAGAATGATGGGGGCTTAGGGGGCTGCTTTTAGGGACAACTGAGCTATGAGGGCCGGAGCAGCCTGGGAGGCTCCCTGGAGGGGGTGTGGAGGCTGTGAGGCTTAGAGCAACCTAAGAGGGTTTCCTAGATGGGAGTATGGAGGATGTTTGACCTGAAGCAGTGTGGAGGGCTCCCTGGAGGCGGTGTGGAGGGTATAGTGTGTTAGGGGTGGGCAGTGGAAGACACAGGGTCTCTGAGTGTGTGTAAGGCAGGGTTCCAGGAACAGGGGACTGTCATTGTTAGGAGTCTAGATGAGGGCAGGCTGCATGGCCTCACCCTGGGTCCCCTCTAGGCTAAAGTGGCAGCTGATCAAGACAGGCTCTGAGCTGGAAGAGTCCTGGGCTGAGCCCGGCTTGCTGCCTAGATGACCTGGGGTGACCAGGAATGGGCCCGTCCAACGCTGGGACAGCCCTCCCACCCGCTGTTCTGTCCTCCTCTGAGCTGTGGTTTCCTGGTGTTTAGAAGGGACACATCCACAGGGCTGTCCCACAAGGGGTTAAATGAGGTGCCACGGGCCCAGAATGATGCTGGGCTAGCTAACAGACGCACCACTGAGATTATGCCACCTCTGCCTTGGCCCCACTCGGCCTCAGTGTTCCCATCTGCAGAATGGGGGTGGCAATGCCTGTCCACCCCCAGATAAGGTCTGGGATCTGTAGGCGTCTTACTGCCTGGGAATATAAAGCAGATCTAAAGTGGCACTTTGATTTCTCTTCCCACGAAGCTGTCATCTCAGGCGCCCCTGACTCACCCCCTAGTCACCAGGTAGAACCTTCTAGAGAACTCTGGGAACAAAGCTTATCCCGGGTGGGCCCGAGTGAGCCGCCCACTGCTGCGTGGCAATCCTGGGCCTTGGAGAAGCACCCTCTGTCCCCCAGTAGGGCGCTGGGATTTAACAGAAAGGCGCTGGCATTGGAGCTGGTTCAAATGCCCTGCTCAGCTGAGCTGGGGACCACTCTGACCCTCAGTCTCCTCTCCAAAATGCCCTTCATCATTCCCACCCTCAGGGCTGTGCCAGTGGGTGAGCAGCCATGGTATAGAGTGGGTGCTCAGAGAGTGTTTTCAGATCCAAGGCCCCACCTGCAGAGTGCAGCTGACAGCCCCCAGGTACAGGCTGGCATAAAAAGTCGGTCGGCAGGCCCCCAGGCCCCCTGCAGTGTTGGCAGGGGGCCTCACAGCGGTCGGAGGCTAATTAAGGCTTAACGAATCTTCACGGATGAAAACCCGAGAGGGCCTGGATCTAGGACGGAGCAGGCAGCGTTTCCCCAGCCGTGGGCCTCAGAGGGCAGGCGTTCATGGGGCTCCCACAGCCATTGTAGACGCTTGAATGAGAAACCATATGTCCCCTGCTCCCCTTGTTCCAGGTTGTGGGCATTTGGAGGGGCTGGAGAGTTACAGCACAGTACGGGGGCCCTGCCCTCCCTGCAGGTTCAGCTGCTGCCCCCAGGGTTATTGTTGTTGTTGTTGTTATGTGCCATCAAGGCGGCTCCGACACATAGCGACCCCTCCTTGGGTTGCCGAGGCAGTATCACTTACGGAAGTAGATTGCCCAACCTTCCTTCTGAGGAGTGGCTGGTGGGTTTGAACCGCCGGCCTTCTGGGAGGCCCCCTCATCTCCTGCCTTCAATGGGGACAGGAGGACGGAGCAGATGCAGTCTGCTCCCAGGAGAGAGAACGCCCCTCAGACTAGAGGAAGCAGACGGAAGGAGAGGCGGCGGCCAGGAGTGGAGGCAGCCAGCCACCCCCTTGGCTGGGCCCAAAAGAGGCCAAGAGCCCCAGCCACTTCCTCCTCCTGTTTCTTGGGTTAAGTGCTTTCTGGCAAGTTAGTCCAGGAAACTAAAGGGGAAGCTAGCTAGGGGCGTCAGGAAGATGGCCTGTTTCCCAGGCCCCCCTTCTGATGCTGATGTCAGACCCTCAGGAGACCCAGTCTCTCCTGTTCCATTCCTCCATGCCCGGGAAGCAGACTTGAAGCCCCCAGAGTGGCCTCTAGCCTTCCGCTTCCTGAGTGCAAAGACCCTGCTTGTGTTGGCCTCCAGTGGCTCAGAGCAAACCGTGTCACTGAAAACAGCATAAACGTGTGAGCACAGTCTTGGGGTCAGGAGTCCGGCTCGGGTGTCCTGGGGCTGGAATCTGGGTGTCAGTGGTTGCTTCTGAAGGCTCCAGAAAAGAGTTGTCTCCAGCCTTTCCCGGCTTCTAGAGGGCCTGCACTCCTTGGCCCGCGGCCCCTTCCTGTGTCTGCAAAGCCAGCAGCAAGCAACTCCCAGTCCCTCTCTCTGCTTCCATCCTCACACCTCCTCCCCTGGTTCTGCCCTCCCACCTCCCTCCAATAAGGTCTCTTGTGATTACATGGAGCCCCGAGTGGTGTGAATGGTTAATGTGCCTGCTGTTAACGCAAAGGATGGCAATTCAGTCCACACAGGGGCGCCTCGGGAGAAAGGTGATCGACTTCTGCAAAGCCAGCCACTGAAAGCCTGTGGCACCCAGTTGTACCCTGACGCCCAGGGGCAGCGAGCCGACTCCAGGCAGGGCTTGGGGGGAGGGGGCTGGCGGCTCACAGGTATGGGCTTCTGTTTGCAGTGATGCACTCTTTCTGGACTTCGATGGTGATGGGTGCACAAGTCTGGGCAGGTAGGAAAATCCAGAGTCATCTATTTGAAATCAGGGAAGTACACCCACCCCAGGAAGGCTGGTGTTGCCTCTGCCCCAGCTCAGCGGGGCTTAGTGAGTTTGAGGCCCAATGAGTGATCGGACGGGCGGGCGTGCACATGGGCCAGCCCCACCTGCACCTATGGCCGTCCCTGCAGCCCCCTGTGGCCCACGCGCGTGGCTCTCCTGCATTGCAATGAGCCTTCGTCCTTGAAACGTGTGTCGCCTGTCAGAGGGGTCACACCGAGCTCACCGAGCGCCCCCCGAGCCCCTGCGACCAGGCAGCAGATGCTTCTGAGACCACAATCCAAGTGGGACAGATGGCAGGCCTGGCCTCCAGGGTTGACCCCTGGTGGGGAGCGGAGACAGGGAGGGGCCACTAGGCCCGGTTCAGGCTCCAGCTTCCAGCCTAGAGACAATGGCTTACCCCGGAACCCAGGACTGTGGTTCGAGACCCGTCGGTGACCTCCCTGGGCTCACCTGCTACGTTTCTGTCCGTAGCAAAGGTTTGTGACTGCTGTGCGGCCTGTTGGTCTGTTGTCCCCCCACCAGAATGGGGGCTCCTGAAGGACGGGGAGCATTGGCCTCCTGACGCTCTTGGCTGCTCACAAAACATGGACAGCGCAAGTACACCCAGATGCGCCTGGGAAGAAAGGCCTGGTGATCCACTCCAGAAAACTCAGCCACTGAAGGCCCTGGAGGCCAGTTCTCTGACACACGAGGAGTCGGGGCGACAGACGGCAACTGGGTTGGCTGTTACTTACAAGTTCCCAGTATTGGCCACAGTGCCTGGTATGGGGGCGAATGAGTGAGTGAGTGAGTGAGTGAATGAGTGATGAAACAAACAAGCAGAGGATCTGGCATATAGGAAGTTCTGATCAATGCTGGGTAGTGCCCTTGGACCCACCAGCCACTCCTCGGAAGGAAGGTTGGGCAATCCTACTTCTGTAGTGATACCGCCTCGGAAACCCAAGGGAGGGGTCGCTGTGAGTTGGGGCTGACTCGATAGCACATAACAACAAACAACAAACAAGTGCCCTGGGTGGGTCTCTCATTTCATCTCTGAGCCTCACATTCATCATCCGACGAATGGGCCTGTGGCGTTCGGGGGTTCTGATCTGGGAAGTGCTTAGCACAGGCTTGGATTCCAGAAGCACCTCACCCACCTTAGCGAGTTTTACCCCAAAGTACCCCTGGGCATCAGCATGCAGACACACACACACACACAAACACACACACACACACACACAGAGGCAGGCCCCACACCATCAGCGTTCCTGCTCTGAGGTCCAGAACAGGCACCAGGACACCCTTCCATTGCATCCCTGCAGCCCACACTCCTGTGCACTAGACAAGCTGACCCCAAGCCTTCCCTGGAGGGGATGCCACTCCACCAAGGGCAGCCCCTGGGTCCCCAGGGCAGGCAGGAGCCAGGGCCCCGTGTGGGGTCCTGGGTTCAAGTCCCATGAGGGAGAATGGGAGAAGGAGCAGGACCAAAGTACCCCCACCGGAGACCAGAATCCAGGCCCTCTTACCCCTAGAACCCTGGTCACTGACCCCACACTGAGGCTCAGGGCTCCGGGATGAGACATAGGCCCAGAGAGGGTCACTGCCCTGGCCAGGGCGTCCAGCCCCTTAGCGCCCAGGAATGGAGGGGCTGAGGGCGTCTTGGCTGTGATCACCCCTGGCTCGTGGCCTTCCCCCTGAAACCACCCTCCAGGGTGATTCCCAGCCTCCTAGCCCTGGCCAGTGTCCAGGAAACTGAGGCTCAGAGAGGCTACACAAGAGCATGGAGCCATCAGGTGATTAAGTGGGGGTCCCGGCATCAAAGCTGAGCTACCCCTGTTCCCTTCCAAGGACCAGACCGCCCCTCCCCGAGTTGGTGAGGGAGCCAGACCCCGGGAGAGGACCGTGAAAAGCTCTAACCCAGCTGCACGCTGCCCCGCTCCGATGCCTGTGGAGGAGATGACAGGGCCGGGCTGTGGAGTGAGGTTAGAGTTGAAAAAGTAGGTCACAGCATGCGTGTCGCCCGCTGGGTGCTGAGGGATCAGCCAGCCTCTTATCCCCGGAGTAATTATAGGGAAGAGTGCACAGCCACCGCCGAGGACATGGCTGCTAGTTTTTAGACAAGCGAGGTCTGGAGAGGGTCCCCTTATCACCCAAGGTTACGAGCCCACAGGACCAGGACACCCAGTAGTTTTCTGAGACCGTTCATGGCTGCCATGACCTAGGGCCTCTCAGCCTCTTGTTACTTGAGAACTGCTTTCCTGTTTTAACCACATTCTACAGGAAGGATTTATTATTATTATTATTATTATTATCTTTATTGTGATTTGTGTGAAAGTTTACAGAGCCAATTCATTTTCCATACAGCAGTTCATACACATTTTGTTTCATGACATTGACATGAAATTATTCCCACAATGCAGCAGCTCTCTTCCCACTTCCTGCCCGTAGTTACCTCTTCCCTGTGTCCTTCCCTCCCATGCACTCCTGCCCCCTGAGCTGTCTCCCTGTGCAAACACTGCTCTTCTGTTCTCCCACGATTAATCTGATCACTCCAGGGACTGTATCTCCCTGATGTAAATGTTCACTCCATAGGCCTGTCTATTGTTTGGCTAGAAGTCACAGGAGTGGGTTAAATTTCAGGCCTGAAGGGTAACTAGGGGCCATGGTCTTGGGGGTCTTACTAGGCTCTATCAGACCAGCAAACCTGGTCTTCTTTTTATGATTTTGAGTTTTGTTCCACATTGTTCTCCCTCTCTATGCAGGATCTCCTGCACCAATTCCCCTCTGAGTGGGAGCCAGGCACCATCTAGTTCTTCTGGTCTCATGGTCACATAGGGAAGGATTTTTTAAAAACATTTCATTTTATTTGTGGTGAAAATACACAGCACAGCCTGCTCCCAGTCCACGTTACTGTATACACAGCAAAGCCCGTTCTGGTCCACGTTACTGTGTACACAGCAAAGCCCGCTCCAGTCCACATTACTGTGTATACAGCAAAGCCTGCTCTGGTCCACCTTACTGTATACACAGCAAAGCCCGCTCCAGTCCATGTTACTGTGTACACAGCAAAGCCCGCTCTGGTGCACATTACTGTGTACACAGCAAAGCCCGCTCTGGTCCTCCTTACTATATACACAGCAAAGCCCGCTCCAGTCCACCTTACTGTATACACAACAGAGCCTGCTCCGGTCCACCTGACTATATACCCAGCAAAGCCCGCTCCCGGTCCACCTTACTGTACACACAGCAAAGCCCGCTCCAGTCCATGTTACTGTACACACAGCAAAGCCCACTCCGGTCCACGTTACTGTATACGCAGCAAAGCCCACTCTGGTCCACCTTACTAGACACCACTGTGTCAGCATCCCCATGACTCCTGTTGTGGTTGCCTCTCTCCTGTTGACTGCAGCTCCCTGCCCCCAGCCTTCTCGTCCGTGCTGTAGAGTAGCTGCTGCCCACCTGGTCTTACGGTGATGATTCCTTAAAGAGCATGGTCCTCAAGGGGGACACGCTGTCCTGTGTGAGCTGAACTGGTACTTAGTTTAAACGTGATGTCAGGGGGCAGTTTCAATTTAAGGCTTGAAGAGTAACTCGGGACCAGAGTCCTGGGGGCTCCTCCAGCCTCAGTGGGTCCAGGAAGTCTGGATTCTTTGGGAATCTGAGGTTCTCTTCTATATTTTTCTTCCTCTCTCTCAGGATCCATCTGTTGACCCTGAGCAGAGCGTTCAGCAGTGGGAGCCGGGCGCCACCGAGCCCTGTGCTCACAGTGGAGGAGGCAGTGGTTCACGGAGATAGTCCTGTCGTCCAGTTCCTTCTCTATTATTGGGGTTCTCTTTCGTTCCAGATGAATGAAGACTAGCAGTGGCATCTTAGACGGCTGCTTGTAGCTCATCCTACATCACCATTAACCAATAACACCAACCCACTGCCATTGAGTCGATTCTGACTCAAACCAACCCCCATTGGGTTTCCAAGGCAGTAAATCTTTATGGAAATAGATTGCTCCATCTTCCTTCCGAGGAGTGGCTTGTGGGTTTGAACTGCCATCATTCTGGTTAGCAGTCAAATGCCTTTAGCACTGCACCACCAGAGCTCCTTAGGTCAACTTGAACTATTGTTATTGCCAGTTGACTGGAAGGCTGTGAGAATGATTTTTCAAAATTTTTTCCCACTTAAAAAAAGGGCATTGAACAGGGAGACAGCGAGGGGGACAGGAATGCATAGGAAAGAAGGACATGGGGAAGAGGTAACTACAGGGAGGAAGTGGGAGGAGAGCTGTTACATTGTGGAGTATTGTAGTCAATGTAATGAGACAAAATGTGTATGAACTGCTACATGGAAAATGAATTTGCTCTGTAAACTTTCATCTACATCACAATAAATATTGGGGGGAAAAAAAAAACGGTCATCAAACCAGTTCAAAACGGTTCAGTCATGGCTGATGGAAATGAGGGCAGTGTACACATTTCATAGCAACCAAAGCTCTTGGGCGTCTGATTTTGACCCAAGTAGGAAATGGGCAGTGGTACCCCACTCAAAGATGGCGGCCGACACACATTCAAAGCAGCGCAATTGGCCACCATCTTTAAACAGGGCAGCACTGCCCATTTCCTACTTGAGTCAACATCCACTGCTCAAGACCCAGCGTGTATGCTGCCCTTGTTTCATCAGCCAATGACTGAACTGCTTTGAACCAGGTCAAAGCCCTGAAAAAAGCAAGTTTAATTAAAAAAAAAAAAAAAAAAGGTTCTGTTCATCTCTGACACCAGCATCCACCCCCTCCTCACACTCACTCACTCCTCTCTGCCCTGGCCTCCTGGCTGGACCGTGGGTGATTTTTCAGGACTGGATCACCAGGCCTTTCCTTCAAGGACCACTGGGGGGACTCGAACCTGTCACTTTTTTGGTTCACAGCCCAGCATGTGAACTGTGTGCCACCCAGAGACTCCAGCATGTACAAAAAAAAATTGCCATCGAGTCAACTCACAGTGACACTTTAAGACAGAGGAGAACTGCCCCTAGAGTTTCCAAGGCTGTCGTCTTTACAGGAACAGGCTGCCACATCTTTCTCCCCCAGAACAGAATGGCTGGTGGGTTCAAACTGCTGACCTTTCTGTGAGTGGCTGAGTCGCTTTAACCACTTTGCTACCAGATCATGTATGAGCTCTCCCCAAAATTGCATACCATTCCTCTGCAGCTGGATCAGCTAGCAGTTCCCCGGGGCTCTGTGTGTACATGTTCACCCCTAAATCCTTGAAAGGGCCTGGGGAGGCGGGAGCCACCCACAGGGACATCTAGCCAGTGAGAATGTGTGGCCCACGCAGAAGCTGAAATGGGCCAAGAAGGACCAAGGGGCTGCCTGGGGGGCTTCAGCTGCCAAGATGCTGAAAATAGGCCCCTGGCACATGGGAGGCAGCCGAGCAGAAGGCCCTGGGCAGCTGCCGTCCAGCCGCCAGCTGGCCACCTGCTCCCTCCCTAACCCCAGTGCCGGGGTCTGAGCTGAAGGCAAGCTAAGGAGAGGGCCACGAAGAGCAGCTAGGTTGCATCCACCTTCCCGGCCTCCAGGACCCCAGCTCCTCTGGCCCGGGCCCCTCCCCGCTGTCCCTCGCCCAGGGCCTTTACATGGGCTATTCCTCTGCCTGGAAGGCCCTTCCCCCAGAACCCTTCCTACTCCCCCTTCAGGCCACCTCCTCACAGACACCTTCCTCTCCTGCGACTCCCATCACCTCCTGTCTGTCCATGCCACTACCCTTCAGAACCCTACAGACCGGCTGCTTGATTGTTTTCAATATGTTTTACCTTTTTTATTATGGTGACAGTATACATAAGAAAACATTTGCATCTGAACAGTTTCCCACAAGCACCATCCAGTGATATTGATGCTACTCCTCCAATGGGGCCCTTTTCCAAATCATTCTGCCACCATGGACATAACCTCCCTGGCTTCTGAGCAAAGCCTCCCTACCTCTCCCTCCCTCCCCAGGAACCACGAATCATCTTTGATTTCTATACAGTTGTTCATTTCATCAAAGTGGGCTTACGCACTATTTGTCCTGTTGGAATGGACTGATTTCAGTCAGCGTGACATTTTCAAGGTTGGTCTGGGTGGTGGCATGCAGTGGGGCTGTGTAACTCCCTGTGGCTGATGGCTGAGTGGTCTTCCATCATATGGATGGACTGCGTGGTGGTTGGCTGCTCCCCTGTTCAGGGACATGTGTGTTTCCACCTTTTGTCTATTACGAATCCTGCTGCTCTGAACGTGCATGTTCTGTATAAGTGTGTGTTCTCATTTCTTTGGGCGTAAACCAAGGAGCAGAATTGCTGGGTCCCTAGGCGTTGGTGGTGCGGTGGTTGAGTGGAAGAAGACAGGGTCCTGCTGGTCCAGTGGTTTGCTTGGTTTGTGGGAGACCTGGGTTCAGTTTCCCCCAGTGGACCTCATGCACGGCCACCACCTACCTGTTCGTGGAGGCTTGTAAGTTGGTAGGATGCTGAGCAGGTTTCGGTGGAGCTTTTAGACTAAGACGGACTAGGAAGAAAGGCCTGGTGATCTGCTTCCAAAATCAGCCAATGAGAATGCTAGGGATCCCAACGGTCTGATCCACAGCTGATCGTGGGGGCAATGAAGGAGCAGGCAGTTTCCTTGGTGCATTGAGCATTGCATGTGGGGCTAAGGGGCAGCTGCAGAAGGTAGCACCTATGGCAATTAGTTTTTTTTTTTTTTAATTGTGATTTGGGTGAAAGTTTACAGAGCAAATTCACTTTCCATACAGCAGCTCAGATACACCTTGTCTTATGACACTGACTATAATTTCCCACAGTGCAACAGCTCCCCTCCCATTTCCTCCTCTTACCTTTTCCCTGTGTCCTTCCCTCCATGCACTCCTGCCCCCTGAGCTGTCTCTCTGTGCATACACAGACCTTCTATTCTCCCATGATTGTTCTCTCCCAGGAGTGTATCTACCTAATGTAAATGTTCAGCTCATATGCCTGTCTTTTGTTTGGCTGGAAGCCACAGGTGTGGGTTCAGTTCCAGACCTGAAGGGCAGCTAGGGGCCATAGTCTCAGTGGATCCATCAGGTCCCTTCTTAAAAAAAAAAAAAAAAAACACCACCATTTTGAGTTTTGTTCCACTTTATTCTCCCTCTCTATCCAAGATCTCCTCCATAGATCCCCCTCTGAGTGGTGACAGTAGTAGCTGGGCACCATCTAGTTCTTCTGGTCTCATGGTCGTATAGGCTGAGGCTCGCATGGTGTACCAGTCACTTGGACTAATTGTTTCCATGCATCTTTGGTTTTGTTCATTCTTCTCTGCTCTGGATGAGGAGAGACCCATCGTTGCATCTAGATGGCCGCTTGCAAGGTTTTAAGATCCCAGTCGCTACTCGCCAAAGTAGGTTGTGGAACAATGTTTTGTGTAGTATGTTATGCCAGTTGAGCTTGATGTCCCCTGCAACTATGGTCCTGAGCCCACAGGTCCAACTACTCCCTCCCTCTGGGTAGCTGGCTGTGACCAAGAAGTGACTACAACCTTGTCCCTTGTCCTCTCTATTATATGCCTGGGAATTCTTACAGAACATACTAATACACTTGTAGTAACATTGTCTGCCAACCCTATACATGGTACATGGTCTTGGGCACAGTCCCCCTGCATAGACATACCTAATCGTTCAGCCTGTCCATCCATCTATCCACCCATATATCCCTGTTTGCCTTCAGTGACAACACAGTACTGTATGTGCAAAAGGGTTCATTATTGTTGGCTGCACCTCCCATGCATTGCTGTCTTCCTCTTCCTCAATGTATGGCAATTAGTTTTAAATCACTGAAGGAGCTCTCAGAGGGCGAGCCAAACAGCAGGTAAATAGACACTGCTCAGTGGCGCCCCCTCACGAGGCACCAGGGCCTCGTGCCAAGCTGCCGTACCCTAGTTACACCTCTGCGTGGCGCTGCTGTGAGTCAGGGATGGACCGGACGAGACTAACGGGGTCCGGGCGGGTTGGGCGGGACACCGATCACACCGCGCCCCTCGCCACAGGTGCGCAGGAGGATGGTGGCGCGGCCCTAGGCCCAGGCTCCGCACCATGACCTGCTGGCTGCGCGTCCTAAGCCTGCACCTGCTGCTGCT